ACCAATAACAAGGAATCAGAGAAAGAGTAGATGGAAACGCTCCCTTTCACAATAGATCAAAGAAAATAAAGTATCTTGGGATAGATCTGGCCAAAGACATTAAAGAGCTCTACAAGGAAAATTTTAAATCTTTAAGAAAGAGACTGAGGAAGACACCATAAGATGGAAGGACCTCCCATGCTCATGGATTGGAAGAATTAATATTGTGAAATGACCATTCTACCAAAAGGCATTTATAGAATCAATGCAATGCCAATCAAAATCCCCATGACATTCTTCACAGACTGGAAAAAACCATCCTCAGATTCATATGGAAGCCCAAAAGACCTCGTATAGCCAAAGCAACCCTTAGCACTAAGAACAAGGCTTTGGGGGGAGGGGGAATTATGATACTAGATTTTAAACTGTATTACAGAGCTATAGTCATAAAAACAAACATGGCACTGGCACAAAAATAGATCTGTAGATCAACGGAACAAAACTGAAGACCAAAATATGAGTACATGCAACTTCAGGCACCTGGTATTTGAGAAAGGAGCCAAGAATATTCACTGGAGGAAATACAGCATGTTCAGAAAAATGGTGCTGCAAAACTGGATCTCTATCTGTAGAAGAATGAAACTAAACCCCTATCTTTCATATTGCACAAGTAGATCAGAGACCTCAATGTGAAGCCTGAATCTCTGAAACTGTTCGAAGAAAACATTGGCAGTAACCTACAAGATAAAAGTGTAGGGAAAGATTTTCTAAATCAGACATCAATTGCTCAGGAAACAAGGTCAAGAATCAACAAATGGGACCTCATTAAATTAAAAGGCTTCTGTATATCAAAAGAAGCAACCAAGGAAGTGAAGAGAAAAACCACAGAGTGGGAGAAAATCTTCACTAGCAACACATCTGACAGAGATTTAACATCCAGAATATATAAAGAACTCAAAAAACAAAGAATCAAGAAAGGAAGTAACCTAATTAAAAGATGAGCTAAGGAGCTGAACAGAGTTCTCAAAAGGAAAAATAAAGATGGCTAAGAAGCATTTTAAAGGTTGTCAACATCATTAGTAATTAGGGAAATGCAAATTAAAACCACTTTAGGATTTCATCTTACCCTAGTCAGGCAGACTAAGATCAAGAGAACAAATGATACCAAATTTTGGAGAGGATGTAGGGAAAGGGAAATGCTAATCCACTGCTGGTGGAATTGCAAACTTGTTGAACCCCTATGGCAACCAGTGGGGAGAACCCTTGAAAAACTAAAAATGAACCTACCATTTGACCCAGTTATACCACTCCTTGGAATATACCCAAAGAGCTCATCTTACTGCAGAGACACCTGTACATCCATGTTGCTCGCTGCTCTTTTCACAATAGCTAAGATATAGAAGCAACCTCAATGTCCCTCAACTGACAAGTGGATAATGAAAATGTGGTACATTTATACGATGGAATTCTACTCAGCAAAAAAGGAAGATGAAATCATGAAATTTGCAGGTAAATGGATGGAAATAGAAACTGTTATGCTAAGTGAAGTAACACAGACTCAGAAAAACAAACAACATATGTTCTCTCTTGTATGTGGGTCTTAGTACCAAATCCTTGTTGAGTATGTATCCAGATATAACTACAGGAACCAGGACAATGAAAAGAAACCAGGGAGGTAAAGGAAAAGGAAGAACCTGAGGAGGGGGGGGGGAGCAGTAGGAAACAGGTGTTACTAAGGGAGATATGGATAAAAATGGGGTTATTTAAATGGGAGGGTGAGGGAGGGTTATACAAGGAAACTTGGGGATAAAGGGAAAGAAGGAGCTCAAGAGAGGTGGGACCATAGCAGAAGGGTATAATTAAAGGAGAAACGGGGAACATGGGGACACTTTAAATGGGGAAAACATGGTGAAAGGATTAGAGAGTGAGAGAGATAAGTAATGCCTAGCTAGTTTTAAAAACAAGAGGGAACCACATTAGTCCAACTATCTATAGACAAATTATACATACAACTAGTTCAAGGAATAAAATATATATCTAGTCAAGGTTTATCTGAGAACATTTGGTTTTTGCCCAAGCTTTATCAAGATAGCACACAGTAATTAGAAGTATCAGACTGGCGGAACTAAACTTCTTGGATGTTTAAAAGCCATACTTTGAGGCCTATGCTAATCTGGTCAGAGGGACTTAAAGGACAGATTTTGCTCCTTGCCCTCCAAGGTCAACTAAGTTCCAGAGGACTATGAATATATCTCAAAATGTCCTGTAACTGTGGTGAGTCACCTGTCCTCTTGATCAAGGAGAGGCCATGGAGACCCCATCAGATGGATCTGAACCAGTATCCAGTCTACAAAGAGGAGGGTCAACACAGAGGAAACATTTCCTACATGCTTCCAAGTGAAGACAGCCACTGTCGAGCAAGACCTTTGACTTACCTTCACATAGATGGAACTGTTTTCTAAAATAAAATAAAAAGCCAGGGGCTCCTCCCAAGCCCATTTAGCATTGAACTGGGAAAATTAACAGTAGACCCCAAACTTATATAAAGGAATATTGGCAACTGATTGCTCCCTGATGAGGAACAGCTGACCTTCCTAAAACAAGGAACTCTAAATAGGATGACTAGACTCAGAAGATGGAAAAGCACTGGGGAATGGCTGGGGACACCGACAGCACAGTGAACAGTAGCAGGGATGACAGAGTATATGGGCTCCAGTAGGGGGGGGGAGGCTATGTGAGGGTGCCATTTGGGAGGTGGGTATACTAATGAATAAGATTGTTTGGGATGATCTGTATGAAATACACAAAAAAAATCAACAAATAAAAAAATGAGTTGTATTTGAGGAGAAGCATAAAAATTTGCTCCATGTTAATTAGTAGAGATGAAACACATTACCATTGAAATCTCCCCAATTATTTTATGTCTATGCTCAGGTGGATCTAAAAAAAGTAACTGACTGTGACTAGTAATAATCAGATATATAGAGATTCGAGACGAATGTGCAAACACAAACACACACTCAGAAAAATCAACAAAAAATAAAATTAAAAGAAAACACTGAAAAATAAATAAATAGAAATAATTTTTAAAAAGTTTAAAGTACTAGGGATGGAGAGATGGCTCAGAGGTTAAGAGCATTGGGTGAAAAGTAACTGACTGTGACTAGTAATAATCAGATATATAGAGATTCGAGACGAATGTGCAAACACAAACACACACTCAGAAAAATCAACAAAAAATAAAATTAAAAGAAAACACTGAAAAATAAATAAATAGAAATAATTTTTAAAAAGTTTAAAGTACTAGGGATGGAGAGATGGCTCAGAGGTTAAGAGCATTGGGTGCTCTTGCCGAGGACCCAGGTTCAATTCCCAGCACTCACATGGAGCTAACACTTATTTGTAACTCCAGTTCCAGGGGATCCCACATCCTCTTTTGACTCCATGGGCAGTGCATAACATGGGTGCACTTACACACACTCAGGCAATACACTCATATACGTTAAAAAAAATTTTTTTTAAGTACTTAAGGTACTGGAGAGATGGCACAGCGGTTAAGAACACTGGTTGTTCTTGCAGAAGACCTGGGTTTGAATCCCAGCACCCGCATAGCAGCTAACAACTTTCTGTAACTCCAGTCCCAGGGGATCCAACAGCCTCTTCTTTCCTCCGCGGGTACTGCATGACACGGGTGTACTTACCTGCATGCAGGCAATACACACATACACATAAAATAAAATTTTAAAAATTTAAAAAATAGTACTTGAGATTTTTTCTAATAAGTTAAAGGGTTTCAGAATCGAAAAATGCCAAGACAGTGAAAACGGGGAAAAGCCTTGCTGCTTGGCCTCTGTGCCCTGTGTGAAGTTCACAGACAGACTTTACAGGCAGGGAAGTGATGTGCTGGCCATGGAAGAAGTTACAGAAAGAACTTTAATTAAGTGCAAAACCCAGGACCATGACAAATACGGAGATCAGATAGGCACAAAAATTAGCCATCCTAAATTGTCAACAATATATCAAATATAACTACATTATATCCCACAGACTGGTAAGTGGAATATAAAATGCAAGCAAAAAATTATTCTTTTTTTTGTAAATCACTAAAGTATTATTATGAACCATAGCTGTATTCTAAAGAATTCAACATTGTTATTTCTTTGAGATAGTAATTGCAAAGGTCGGGCTTTCTTTTGAATCTCATTGACCATTAGTACAGTGGAATTTAGATATGACTTGTCACTGAATGCCTCTCTGTGTTGACTCATTTAGAAAACAATCAAATCATATTAGTGTTATTAATACAAAATTTGTATTGCTATACATAAAATAAAGTAGGACTTTAAAATTAAAAAAGAAAAGAAACAATGTAGCAGTGGAGGAAAAAAAGTATGACTATGGTAAGTATTGAAACGCATCTGAAAGGATGACTTCATGAAAGTAGAAAAGAGCAGCGGTTAGAAACATTTGATTTAAAAGAAAAATCTTACTTTTGAGCTTCAATATGGGTAACATATAGGATTAACAAGTCTTTCTAGTTCTATAGACCACAAATATTAAGGTAGAACAAGATCATTATCAAGGGGCTTGATGGCATTATTGAAATGAATTAATTTCTCATTCTCATTGCCAAAATCAAAAAACCCTGTATTTGTAATCATAGAGTCAAAACAAGACAAAGTCAAGTGAGTGATTAAAATGAGAAATTAAAGCTACTTTTGCTATATGTTGGAATGCAGAGTTCTAGAAATAAATCACAAATATATTGCATTCATTCAGAGTATAGTTTTCATTTTACATTTTGACATAATATAGAGAATACGGAAAAAATACATAAATACTTTCAAAAGCTCCCTTAGTCCTAGGTTTCAATAAATTATTTTAAATCGAGACAATTTGTCACAAATATTCTTATGTACAAAAAAGCAAGATGATATTGAAAAGCTTTTTATTTTCTTTCTCTTGTTTTGCATAGCATAAAATGCCCCTCAAAAAAGTTACCATGGACATGTAGCACTTACCGTAACAGCAAACTGCTCAGGTTCACATAAGTTGTTATAGTCACTCTTGAACTGAGACAATGAATTCAACTGCTCTTGATCAGGAAGATGCTTTATTAAGTTCTGAAAATTAAAACCAAGTGCAAATAGCTTCATTACACATCTCTCAATTCTCAGAAAAAAATGATCATTAAACTAGAAACTAAACCAGTGAAGAAATTAATCTTGTTTTTTCTTTTCTTTTTCTTTTTTTTCCTCCCAGAAAACTTCCCTTATACTAAGCCTGAAGCAACAGGCTACTCAACTTGGAAACAATTTTATTTTCTGCTCTCCCAGAGTTGTTATATATTTAAGTCAAGCACTGCTGAATATTTATTTGATTAGCTTATAATTGAAAGAAAGAAATTCAACTTATACCAAAGGAACAGCTTTTTCACCTGGATAAATATGATCCATTACATTTCAGCTTTAGGGAATTGATTGTCAGAAATCTCAGGCAAAACCAAACACATTTCAGTACTTAACTCCAGGATAAAAAAATCCTCATGTTGATACCAAAAGTAAGGGAAAGAATAAAAAAAGAAACCAAGGGAATTTTAATGCAGTGTTGCAATATTGAACTAAAAGATTACATTTTAATAATAAAAACCAAAGATATCTTTTAAATGAGGACAAAGCAACATCTCTAATGTGGAAGAAATTTATACAAGCAGCGGAGACAGAGGATGATAAGATGCATGTGAAGAGACCCTGTAGGAATATCAGTGCCCAAGGCTGAAAAGCTCCTTCACTTCTATCAATTAGAGCCTAGAATCCATAGGTTCTCTTGGCTGTTCCAGTCCCTTTGGGATGCATCCCACTTAAGAAAGACGAGGGGAATATGTAGAATTTGGGCAACTGTGCTATGCTGACACAAATAAATAAGCAAGCCCATGGACAAAGCTTATACATAACCTATGTATCAAAATATAATAACTAACCAATAGGACTAGTTAGTGTACTAACATTCAAGTTAAGGGGGAAAAAAGGAGTGTTGGATGCTTACAATTCTAAATCCACAATAAACTTAAGTCAAGCATAAGTTTCAACTAACCCTATGGCATACTATGTAAGTATCCCTTTGGGGTGGGGGGGCGGACATAAATGTCCCAAAGAACTTTTAGTTCAAAATAGAGTTGGAAAATATTATATATCAAAAGTAGTTGAATCAAAGAACAAATCATGAGTTCACTGTGTACCTTTGGATAAAACCTTGATTGACTAGCCAAAAATAAAGTGGTAATTTAAGATCATCCTCAGAAAAGTCATTATTAATACTAGTAAGGTAAACACAAACTTATGATGTTTTTGACAGATAAACAGAAATTTCTCACTGGAAATCCATGAGTTCAAAAGACTTGGATATTTATATTTTTGTTTAGCCATTCTAGTTGACAGTTATACTATTCAAGTTATTCATACAACAGGTCTTTGAATTTCTTTAGCATTCTTTTAGGTAGTCAGGATATGTCAATGAATATTTTTAGTATGCTCTACAATTTTACTTTTCACCATACTTTCATTGATTTTTCACTTAAATATCTGGGTGTTTCCCCCCAAAACAACAACTACAACAATAACAACAAACAAACCTCATGATTTATAGGAGTGCAGGTCCAACCTTCCTTTGCTTTCAAACCCTTACCAAATTACTCATGTCCTCCCAAAATCTTAATCTCTGGTCAAGCTGAATTCTACAAGTTGTCTAAATAAAAGTTTTCCCTTCACAACTCATAGTATTATTACTACCAGAACGAGAAGCACATTTTTATACAATCTTTCTGTCCTTTTCTATATCCATGCATGATTCCTCATTTAGGTACTCTTAGCTCCAAATACACAACATGAGTGTTCCTTCACCCAATTCTCAACTTATATTTCAACCTTGACAAAGCTATGTCCATATTGTATCTTAACTATACATGTAATTATCTTCTCTCTTGGCAAAACAGAAACTTCAAGAAGGTGAAGTCTGTCTGATACACCCTTGTACAATGCCTTGCACACAGTGGATACAATAAATGTTAGCAAAAGGAATTTACCAAAGTCCATGGAGACAATCTTGCACACTTTTATTTTAAATGGATTAAGAATGAAGTGCAAGTGTAGCACAAATACTGATACACTGCTGATCTATTGTTCATGAGTATCATGTAAAAATTAGGTTATGACAGTGAACAAAGCCAAACAAAATAGTGATTATTACAAATGTAATTACAAATATAATTTGAACACTGTGTTCAGATTGGTGCTATGCCATCATAAAATAAGGATTTTTTTTGGGGGGGGGCGTCTTTTTGAAACAGGGTCTCCCTGTAGCCCCAGCTGGCCTGGAATTCACTATGTAGACCAGGCTGGCCTTGAACTCACAGAGATCCGCCTGCTTCTGCCTCCCAAGTGCTGGGACTACAGGCATGTGCCACCATGCCCGGCTGGATTTTTTTTTTTTTTAAGTTCCAGCTGGCCTGGAACTCGCTATGCAGAACAGGATGGCCTTGATCTCACAAAGATCCACCTGTCTCTGCTTCTGCCTCTGCCTCCCATGCCTGAGATTAAAGACATGTGCCATCATGCCTGCCAAAATAGGGAATTTTAAAAAATTAAACAAATACTTCAAATAACATGAAATTTTTATTTTTCATTTTTTAAGATTTGTCAACTCATAAAATTGGCTTCATACTTAGTGAAGAATACCACCACACAATCCCAAGAGGTCATGACTACTCCCCAGAATCTATGAAATTACCTGCTTACATGGCAAAGGGAATTAAATCTACAGATTGGATCCCATTTGTTACCAGTTAGCCTTAGGGTGATTATCCTGTAGTATCATAGCATCTGATGTAATCACAAAAGTAAAAGTAGAAAGAAAGAATGATCAATTAAGAAGGAGATGTTATACAAGAGAGGAGGAAAAGGGTCCAATGATGTTGGCCTGGAATATGAAGGTCGGGATCCATGTTAAGGGAGGTAGGCAGCCATGAGAAGCTAAAGAGGACAAAGACAGGATTCTTCCCTGAACCCTACTGAAAACATTCCAGATCTGCCAAAACCTGAGCTCAAACCAGTAAGACAAATGCCAGCCTTCTATAACAGTGCAAGATAGAAAATTTGCTACAGCACGCTGTTGAATTTGTGGAGAATTGTTGTAACAGGCAAAGGAAACTAATACATTAAAAAATTAAATGAGGTTAGGGTTGGAGGGAATGTTCAGCATTTAAGAGCACTTACTGCTCTTCTAGAGGACCGACCCAGGTTCAGCTTCCGGCACCCACAATGTAGCTAACAACCATTTGTAACTCCAGTTCCAGGGGATCAGATTCCCTCTTCAGGCCTCCACAGGCACTGCATGCATGTGGTGCACCTACATACATGCTGGCAAAACACACGCATAAAATAATAAAATAAAATAAAACAAAAAATTTCAAAATTTTTATGAAGTTGAACCTGCATTAGACATGAATTACAAAACAGAAGGGACCTTCTACCTCCAGACCACAAAATCTACATGATTATCTAAAACATTCATATAATCAAGTTAAAATCTACTCTGTAAATATTTAACACATATTTCTTCTTTCATTACCAGAAATACAAACATTTAGAGGCAGATAATTTTACTTTAAGGAACTTGATGTCTGCTCTCAGCAAGAAGTCACATACACAATTAACAGTAACAAAGACAAAAATCAAATTCAAAGAAAAACAAAACTGTTACAGGAAACAAATAGTCCTTAAAGAAAAGTTGTCGAATTAGGTATTTTCTATGTCTGCGTGACTCAATGCACAGATCTGAAACAAGAGCATGTTCCACCATATTTATAATAGGAGACAGGAAAGGCAAACCTGGAACTTCTAAAAATATCACTTATTGATAGGTTCAAACATCTATATAAGTTTACCCATTGTTCATTCTGATAAATCATAGTTGGTGTCTTCCCTTTTCCCCTATCCTACTGTCCTCCTGCCCCCATTAGCCCAGCAAGGCCTCAGACTCTTAATTCCCCCACCTCAGGCTCCAGAGCATAGAGATTACAGGCAAAGACCATCAAATGTGCTTGTTGGTTTCTTTGTCTTGTTATTAGTAAAAAGAAAAAAAAAGAACTGCAAGAATATATTTAAAACCACAAAATAGCAAAAGGCATTCTCTTATCACAACAAGTATTTTGCTTAGCCAACTTCACATCTGTCAAGGTACACATATTGATGCCTTGTGTGGAATTTCCAAATTTGGTACAACACTGGAACTCATTAAAAAACACTGTGAGGAAAAAAAAGGTTTTTGAAATAATGTTCTAGTCTTCAGAATGAATTCAGAGTACCACAAGTCATAGCTCTTCTAGGAGATCAGTGATAAAGCAGAGTTCTTACAAAGTTAACTACGTGAAAAGAGGGCTCCCTCAATCTTCTACACCAAACAATAATTCAACTCCTTAAGTCAAAGAAAAATACTCTAAAGCTATAAAACAAATTTAAATTAACATGCCATTAGTCTTAACAAAAACAAAAATATGTATGTAAAATTAAACAATTTGCTTTTCAGAAACAGTCATTTAAAGTAATTGAAATGTAATCATTTTGATAGCATTATATTTAGTTAGCAGTTAAGAGAAAATGCAGAGTTTTATATCCTGGCAATGCAGAAGTTATGCTAAAACTAATTATGCAGCAATGATTTTCCAGTTGAATGATTTAGACTGAGAATTTTTCTTCACTTACAGATTACTATTTAATGAGAAGTTTGCAATAAAATATTGGAATCTAAGTTCTGTCTGCTTGTTTACCTGAATCATAGATTCTGCCAATCGTGTTTCATCCACTTCTAGTATTATCATTTTGATTTCCTCATACGGCACTCGGAAAGAGCTCAGGAAGATTGCTTAAAGAAAGGGGAAGAAAAAAGCCTCATAATATATAAGTAATAAAGAGATTCAAGATGCAGTGATAAATAAAATTGAAAGAAATAAATTTATAAAATTATACAGTTGTGCAGGAAACTTCATTAGCACATTTATGTTCTCCCTAATTTTAGAACTGGTATATAAACATCCATTCTGCACTTTTATGCAGGTGTCAAGCATGATTTTTAAATCCTTACCTATCTGCCAACCATAGGAATGGTGCCAATTGTCATATGATTTAAAAAACTAAAATATGTCGGATCTGCCAAAAAATTATCACATTGTAATGAAAATGATAAAATTCCAGCATCTGCATTTAATATTTGTCTAAGTATACATGATACTGGCTTGTATAATATTTTCAAGCACTAAACAGTTCAGAGAAAACCATTAAGAAAACTGCTGAGTAATGCATCCCACTTTACAACAATCATTACAAGTAAAATTATATTCAGAAATATTGTATACATAGATAACTTGCTGGAGAAACAGCCCTTGTACTTACTTAATCTTAAAATATCCCATTTTAGAAAGTAAATTTTCATGGTAAATTAACTACATGGAGATACCTCTCCATGATACTATGTTACTGGGAATTCCAGACATTACTTAAGTTTTTTTTGCTATTTATTTATTAATAGATATTTGTCTTATAATAATTTTCAACAAAAGCTTTCAAGGTATATACTATTATTTGCAGTGCATTAGATATAATGCTTTTACAGTTCCACCAACCCCACACACTCGATTAATGTGTTTTCATGGTAAAATGTCAGTTTTTAGCGTGTTATGGTGGTTCAAACCTTCAATCCTAGTACTTAGGAGGCTGAGGCAAGATGACTGCAATTTTGAGGCCAGTTTGGGCTACACAGTGAAATACTGTCCCAACAAAAGTAAAGTCATTTCTTGAACTTCCTTACTATTTGCTACCAATAACACATTATTTTAATTCTTTGCTACTGGACTTGTATTCTGCCTGGAGGCAGCTGAGAACAAAGGCACTATATGTCATAAAACTTTAAAACCATAAACTGCTTCTTTTTTGAACTATTTCTTATTCTTGAGAACAAGGAAGTTGTGTTCTCATGGAAGCTTCATTTGCATATTTCTACACCCAAGAAGTCACAAAAGTAGGATACATGTGTTAGAAATTATGGCTGTCTGTAACCAACAATGTCCTAAAAGCAGAACAGATCAAAGATGCAAAAGTTCCAGCAGCAGATATTCATGGAATAAAAGGGAATAACTCTGAAACAGAGTTAATCTTTTAAAAATACTTTATTATTTTTATTTTATGTGTATGAATGTTCTGTCTGCATATATCTAACTGCACCCATGAAATGTGATATCCACAGAGGTCAGAAGATGGCACTGGACCCCCTGGAATTGGATATATGGAAAGCCGTTAGCCTCCATGTAGGTGCTGGGAACTGAACACAGGTCCTCCACAAGAGCAGCCAGTGCTCTTAAGTACTGATGCTACTTCTCCAGTTACAACACAATTAATTATGCAAGCCAAAAATATAAAAGCAATCTGATCTCAAAAGAATAATGAATGAACAATTTATGGGATGAGAATAAAATGTAGATATCTATATTATTAGAAAAACTAGTTAAAGGAGAGAAAGTAAAAATGGGTATTAACAACAAAAAGAAATGGAACTGGACATGACAAATGAGCTCTTCTCTGAATGGAAAAGAATTTCATAAGCACAAAGGCATAGACAAGGTAAAAAGATTCATATCCAACAACACAAAAAAAGCATGAAAATGTCAGTGCACTCAAAATGCAAGAAGAACAGTGGAAATCTGATTCAATATTCAGTTTTATTTACCTTTAAATATAAACAAATATCTAAAATAATTAGAGAAGCAATAGGCCAGAACAGGAAAGTGATAAAATTAAAGAATCAATTAAAATAGGATAAAAAATGATAATTAAAAGTGACACAGGGAGCCTCAGGAGCACCTGACTATCAGCAAATAGCATTTATGCCACTACTCTATCCCATAAGGATTCATTTCAGCCTGTATTCTAGAAAAAGCTTACCTAGGCCACAGTGAGGATGGAAGGGAGGCATTCTGAAACGGTCATAAAAGGAATGCTAACGCTCGCTTTTGCACATATTGCTCTTTAATCAACAGCAAGGATCATTATCCTCTTGCTGGAGAACTGTTTGGTTCCAATACTTGCTAAAAGCTCACTTGAGACATTTAACAAGTGAGAAGCAGACTAAAAGCCATGTTAACACTCCTCATCCATCCAGATTCTACATATTATATCCTCTTTGCACCACTGAAAAGAAATATACATAGGTCAAATTATCTCAGCTCCAAGCAGAACTATCTTTGATGCATTTAAGATGCAGTAAGAAATGAATTAGGAACAAAATAATTTCCTTCTCTCATAATAATTCAGTCAGGAAGACAATTTCATACTAAGTATTTAGCTCCTGTAACAGTAATTAACTCTACAATATTTCCATCAGTAGTTCAGAGGAAAGGCTTTGAGCAACTCAGGTAGGATAATGGAATTCATGTCACTCATCATCCTCATTTCCATTAATATTCTATTATACCAAGTGATCAAGTATCACAAATAATGGAGATTCAGAAGTATAAAACAATAGATTACCAATTCTTTAAAAGTATGATGTCATTGCCTGAATTCCTTCTCTTTAGTACAAAAAAGGAACTTTAAGGAGCAGTTTTCACTTATGGAAGGCAGATATCACCCAAAATCCTGTTCTAGTTCGCTAGTATACATTAATCTTTTAAAGACTTTAATCTTGTAATTTGCATGAAGAAGAGCAATCTCAGCATTTATTATAAGAAAATGGAAAACAAGTCAAAGATGAACCAATTTCAAGAAACAATCAACAGGCGTTTTGATAATTTGATATTTATCTGTGCTACTTACAAAGGTTCTGCGCAATTTTAGGATCTAGAAATTTAAGTTCTTTAATTTTTTTCTTAATAATTTTCTTCTCCTCAAAATCATCCTCATCCCTTTTCTCTGTAAAACAAAACAATGATCTGTGTTATAAATAATAAAAACTTCAAGAGGAAAATGACAGAACGTGATTTTTTTCATAGACGGTAACACTACAAACACACACAGGTAGAGATATTCCTAAATCATAGTTATAAAAATAAAATATTTATCACATACATACAGTCTCACAATGTAAACTGTTTCAGATAAGCAGTGGTAGCTCCTGTTAGGTTTGAAAAATTATTGAGCTGATATTTGAAAGTTTAAAAAGAAGCACATTTTAAAAAACTGACTTATACTATATAAGCTAATTGTATGGGACACAAGAACAAGGGAAGTTAGCTCATTTGAATAGAATACAGTGCGTAGTTGTAGAAGTTGATGGACTCATGCCTAGATCAGTGAGACTATCTGAAGAAACAAAACAAAACAAGACAGTCACTATATAAAATTTGGGTCTTGGCCAGTTCTGATCCCAGCACCCACATGGCAGCTAACAACTGTCCGAAACTCCAATTTCAGGGGATCCGACAGCCTCTTCTGTCCTCCACGGGCACTGCATGACACAGGCGCACTTACCTACATGCAAGCATAACACTCATACACATAAAATAAAAATATATTTTTTAATTTGCATCTTGGTAAGCAAGAATGGCAGGGCAAAGTGTTTCGCAGATATACACAAATAAATCACAAATATGAGGGCAAAATAAACCTTAAAAGCATAAGGAACTGAGAACCAGCTGCATGATCATCATGAATACGCATTATGTATACACATACATTATACATACACACACATATATGTATGCAGTTGTAGTATGATTCACTCCAGTACTTTTTATATAAGAAGCACATAACTATATGTCTCAGTAAATAATAGTATAAAGTAAGAATCAAATTGTCTTTTTTTCTGAAAACATTAATGAATTGATTTCTCTATCACTTCATGGATAACCAGTTCTAATTTGCAAATGAGTCTGTTTCATTTATTCCTTTGCATATCAGCCCCACTGCAGGGCTGGGGACCCTTCTCTCCCACTACTCCTGTGCTGGTCTGCATTACTGTCGCTCTCTCTGAAGCAGCATGTTCTTTCTATTAATTGATTATTCAAGTTACTTTGATCTTTTCCTATCTTAATTTTTATTATATTTCTTATTTTTTTAATCCCAACTATAGAATAATTTAAAAGTTCCCAAAAGAAACTCCATTTGTATTTTACTTGACTAAACAGATACATATTTTTCCTTCTTCTTTTGTTGTTTTTTATTCTTGTTTTTTTAGAAACAGGGTCTTGCTATATATAGCTCTGGTGGACCTCAACTCACTATGTAGTCCATACTTGTGACACTCTTCTTGCCTTAGCCTCCCAAGTGCTAAGGACATGAGCTAGGAGATTCGACACTGACAGTGAACTGTTTCTGAAATTATTCAATTAAGACAATATTCTTCATAAACAACATATGTATCTACTGTGGTAGTTATTCTAAGGAAATATAAATTATAGTCCTTAGTATTGCAGAGAACTAGGCTGAAGTTACCATACATATTTTATACCCAGTCACTTATTGTTCTTTCACTATAGTAACAAAAACTTAGCATCAACTTAAGAGTGTTATGCTAGGCAATGTAAATGCAATGCCAGATCAAAAAGACAACCTGGGCATCACAAAATTTAAGGTTCAATACAAATGACTACAGCATAAGTGGCAAGCAAAATACTGCTAATTTTCAGCAAGAACTACAGGAAAAGAAGGCTATTCTAACTTACACTGGTCAAAGATAGTCTTCCTGGGATAACTGATAAGTAAGTCAAAGGTTAAAGGATCTAGCCTGGTGTGAATGTGCTGCAAGGGGCCAGAGAGAATGGATGGAACATTCTGAGGGTTTGAAAGGCAAAGAAAAGATATGAAGACAATAAAATGAGGTGATCCTAGTGGAAATAAATGACATCAGACAAAAATCATGCAAGACCTTTGAAGCTGGAGTAAGAAATCTGGATTTTATTCTCAGAGTACAAAGGAGGCTGTGAAGATTCAGCATCTTGTAGAGATGTTAGGAAGGACTGGGCTTCTGGAAGTAGACTGAAAAGAATGGCAGAAATAGTGACTGAGAGGTGAGAATGACAGGATTCACATGGGTAAACAGCACTCTCCCAGAGCAAGAGCTGGAGGTCTGGAGAGAACGCCAGAGTGGCATCAACAGTGGGGACTAGAGTAATTATTGCTCCAAAGCATAGCCACCTTTTGAGTTCCAGATTGAATATCCAACTGCTTACTCTCAACACGTGTGCCTAAATATCTAACAAAGGCATCAGTGCTACGTGTCTAAAGCTGAACATCTGGTATATACCACTCTCTACATCCACTGTTCCAAAAGCTACCCTCACCTCAGAAAACAGGGACATTCTCAAGTGGGAACAGTTTGAATTTCTCTACTATTTCTACTACAACACCATGCAGTCCACAATGAATCCAGAGAACCTTAACTACCAGGCACTCACTAACAATCACTCCCCAGTGCCTCCCTCACTGCTACTTCTCCTCTTCTTAGGGTGACCCTCTTTCCTCCCTAGATCACAACTGCTTCCTAAGTAGTCTCCCTACCTACCCTAACTGCAAATTCATTGTAACCTCTTTACTACACTGCAGAGAAAGAATCATCAAAACTTCCTAAAAAGCCCTCAACTGCCTTATACAAAAAGATGGCCATGGATGCAGCTTCCCCATCACCATTGCTCTGCCTTTTTTCCTCCAAAGTACTTTTTATGTCTTTGTCCAGTATAAAGTAAGATTTTTTTTATATATTTGAAGGAATCAAAATCAGTAGAGGAACCTGTGGCACTATTCACAATAAGCAAGTAACAAAATCGGCCTAGGTGCGCACATTTAATGGATGAATGGATAAAGAAAATATTATACAAACACTTACATAGAAAATGTAATATTATTCAGTTATAAAGAAGAGCAAAATCCAGTCATTCACAGGAAAGCAAATGTAATTGGAGCTCATCTTGATAAAAACAAGCCAACCTCTGAAAGATAAATACCCTATTTTCTCTCTAGTGTGGAGTTTAAAGAAAAACTTAAACGAAATGAAAATAGGAGAATATTAAGGAAGAAGAACTGGATCAAAGAGAGAGAAAGAAGAGGTTAAAGGAGGTTGTGGAGGGTAGATATCATCAAAGTACGTTTTACAAATGGCTGAAAATATCACAATAAAACCCACTGTTTTAAACAGTTGAAATGATGAGAGGGAGGGAGGGAATGAAGGAACATTCTTAGAGACCATGATATTATCTGCCACTGTGTCTTTACTAGCAAGAATACAGCCTGAATACAGTGGGTGCTCACTAAATATCATTTGTGTAGATGTACATATTGCCCACTCCATGCATGCAAAAATTCAAAGGAAAAAGGGAGGTGATGTGGATAAACTTGCCAGCAATTGAGAAGCAGGTTTGAACTGGGCCAGTCTTAAGTATATTCAGATTAAGAAGTTATTCTGTATTCACATGGACACATTCAAGAGGCAACTAGATAAGAACATATGGAGAAAAGAAATCTAGAATGGAGGTAGAGGTATCAAGCCTAATACTTATTCCAAAATAGCAGGTTTCCTAGATACTACATTCCCACAACAAAGATCTCCTTCCCAGTATGAACACTGTATTGTTCTATATTGGCTAAATTTTTATAGATGAACTCTAGTAAGAATAGCAGTGCACTCCCTTTCCTTAGTCTGGTCAAATAACAATCCTCTTTGCATATTTCATTTTCTTCATTTCTAAGAGCATGGCAGCTCTATGTTTTAAGGTGGGTAGTTCATCTCAGCATTAGTACCCTCTCACATTCTGAAACATTTTTCTAATGAATCTGAAGAAAAAGTCAATTACATAATAACCTTAAGTCTCACATAACTTTGCGTGAAAAACCTATGAGAAACCATATTGTCTTGTACCACCTTCTCAAGAGTGATTCTCATCACCGTAAGGTAAGAAATGCCAAGGTAAGTAATTCTAAGCAACCAATTCAATGAAACAACAATGATCACTGATTTTATTCCAATTATTCTTTTTGGTGGTATCACAATAAAAAATAGGAACCACAATAAAAATAAAGTTTACAATGAGAGACTGAACCAATGTTAACCAATTCTTCCTTCTTTACAAAAAATTGACCAGCTAGACTCTTGTTAAGCTTGATGTATCAGTATACTCATAATGCAACAAATTTATGGCTTTCCTCATCTTCGAGACTACACAGTCAAAGGGAAGTACATTGTGGGAAGATGGGACATAGGGGTATGAAGGGGCAGTTTTCTAACAGAAAAAAACTGGAATTAAAAATTGCAAATTTGAAATAACTCACGGTGATATGATTCCAGACAATGAGCCTACTTATGCAAAGAGATGATATGAAAAAGCATCTTTCATATTTAAAATGAAAAATTGCTTTAAAAAATTAGATACTAGGCTACTTCCAATAATAAAAAAAAAAAATCAGGGAAAGGTCTTATTTAAAAGTCAGTGATAAAGTAGCATTTATGTGCTGTTATGCTCACTGTGATATTTTTCCCTCCTGTCCTCTAAAAGTTCCTGTGTTTCAAGTCCCCCAACAAATTGGTGTTAAGAGGTAATTGTATGTTAAACAGGTTCAATTAGATCAACTGGGGCTCTGTGTTAGCTGAGAAGGGATTAAGGAAGTTCATATGGAGCCCTGTTGGTTCTAGTAAGAAGATTGCTAACAGCAAAACCAGCCCTTTCCTCATCTTTCTCTAGCTTCCTGTTTTTCTGCACCTATACCTGCTCCCCAACACACACACACACACACACACACACACTTGCCACAATGCCACTCATCACAAGTCCTTAGCAGGGCCATGCTCAAGATGGTAACACCTTGAATTCAAAAGAAATTTGAGGCAAATAAATAAGCTTCTTTTCTTTATAAATTACTTAGCTTCCATTATTTTGGTATGGAAATGGAAAGCAACAATTAAAAGGATTCATTACAGAAGA